ATTCACGACAGCTACACACACAACTACGTCAGTTATTATTGTCAATACTTTTATTTGATCCAATAAACTACGTCAGTTAGCGCAGTCACCACATCAAATTCAACAGCATTTGGAACAAACATTCTAAACCAAGATCTAAATATCGAATCCAAGCCGAATCTATCAGATCGTAATCAAACAGAACAATCAACTCTCCTCTTCAAAAAACCCATTTCTGTAACACAAATCAACCCAAGTTTAAATCCAATAACCAAGAAACCTTCACCAACTAATTCGATTGTGTCACATAGCCACAAAGCTCTTCCAAGTCAAATTAAACCAATAACCCTCCTCAAAGCACTATAACGTCCACAACGTTTACTTTAATTTTACAAGATACTATGTTACTATATTACCTTCAGCAGTTGTGATAGAAACTTCTTTGCTCCAGTCTGAAGCACCAGCTTCGTTTTCAACTCGAACTCGCAATCGCCATAACGTATTTGGTGATGCATCGAGCACTCGATCAGTTATACCACTAAAATTGAAAAATAATTAGAACAGATTATGCTTAACTTACTTTTACATCTTTACTCTTGCCAGAAGAAGAGCCTCATAAATTCAACTTTTACTCATAACGCTAATTCAAGAAGAGCCTCATAAATTCAACTTTTTACTCATAACGCTAATTCATGTTTAATTTAAAAATTTAATTACAAATTACTTTCTCAAAGTATCTGGCTTACTTTATTCAGAATAAATACAATGCGACATATCCTTATTTTCTACATCTGAGACATAGAATAAATTACGAATTTCAAGATTTCAAAATTATTTATCGCAATTGGCTAACCTGGGCACATCAATTTCCTGAGGTAAGGATGAACCATTGGTGTATTCCAGTCTGTATTTAATATTTGAACACTGCCAAGAGGATTGACTTGGTGGTTGCCAGCTAATATGCACCTGGTAAGGTGACGGTGAAAAAGCGTTCACATTCGATGGTGGTGCAAGTGGTACTAAGAAAATTGGTTAATAAATTATCAATCTTCGAGAAAAAGATAGAAATCAATTTAATCGAAAATGATCAGAGATACTGTTTTTAAAATTAGATAAATTTTGAAGTAGAGAAGTAGCAAATAAAATTGCTAAATTTTGTATCAAAATTCCAAAACAATTAAAATTTTAAGATGCATTTTAATTGATGTAAAAAAAATTTACGTGCGCAACCGGTTCGTGCACTTCCTTCTGGACTTGGTTCACTAACGCGTTGCTTTTGATCCACAACTTTGATACGAACAAAATATAGGGTATCAGCATCGAGTAGTGATAAGCGCTGTTGATAATTACGTCGACTCGTGTCATGTTCAATAACTCCATCATATTCGGTAAATGTTGGATTATCGCTAGAACGAAATTCTATGATATATCCACGGACTTGATTTTTTGTATCCAAAATACCATTCCATTGAACAATCAATGCATCAGCACCATCTGCTGTAACCTGTGGTGCATTTGTTACCGGTGGTACTTTGAATGGATCAGTGGAATAACGTGTCCAAGAGAGAGGACCAAAACCACGTTTAGTACCAGCCGAAATACTGATATTATAGGAAGTTTCAGGTTGTAGATTGCTTAAAAGATGTTGCAATGTTGGATGATCGATGAGGAATGTTTTCAGTTGATCTTGTGGATCATCCAATGAAACAATTCCAACTTTATACTGTGTTATTTGTCCTAAAGGATCCGGTGGTGGAATCCAACGAATATGAAGTGAATGATCAGTTTTTGCAACCAATTCTATAGCACGTGGAGCATCAGGTAACGTTTGTAATGTATTCGCAATTGTCACCGTACTCCAAGGACCATATGAACCACCAATGATATGAGCTGCAACCTGAACTCGAAACTGTCGTCCACTTTCTAAATTTGTAACATTGAAACAATGCCGAGGACTTTCAGCTGGGCATTGCAATAATCGATCTTTGATATCTTTCTCGATTTCCATCCAACGACTTTCATTTAGCAGTTGATAACGAATTTTATATTTATCATGTGGTCCATATGGTGGATAAGGTGGTAACCAGGAAATCATGAAATAATCAGTACCTTCCTGAGCAACTACTAAATCTTGTGGCGGTAACGGTGCATCCGCTTTAGCTGTCATTGCATCGAGATTTTCCGTATTAGGACCGCCACCAACACTATTGTAAGCTTTTACACGCATTACGTATTTCGTAAACGGTGTCAAACCTTCAATATTTATCATTGTACTGGAGGTATTTGCAATCTGACGTTCCAGTTTAGCCCAATCATCTTGTCCCTGTATTTCATACTCGTAATTTACGATATGTCCATGACGTTGTGAACATTCTACCTGTTCCCATTGAAAACTAATAGAACGTTCTAAAGCGTAAATTAATTGTAAATTCAATGGTGGTGCACTTGGTGGTTGCTGTTCTGTTGCAATATCTTTCGATTCCTCTGGTCCTAATTCCGTGGTACGTGCACGTACTCGTACTTCATACAGCGAAAAAGGTAACAATCCAGTTAATGTATATTCCAAATCTTTATGATTGTATACAGTGACAAAATCACGACTCACATCACGTGGTTCCTCATCCGGACAAGCTAATCGATGTTTCAATCGATAACTAATATCATAGCCGACAATGGTGCCACGTTGTACCAATGGTGCAAGCCATTTCACATGTACTTCATTAGGACTTTTAGCACGCAAATGTAAATCTCGAACTGGACCTGGGATTCCTTGATGAGTTGTTATCACCTGTTCGGCGCTCCATGGACTTGATCCTACCTGATTAGTGCATCTTAGCTTAACAGCCCAACGAGTATTCGCTTCCGAAGGAAAAGTATAGTCTGTTTGATCACCGGGTACTGGCACAACTCGTTCTGTTTGTGTGCCTGTACGATAAGCAAGATCATAGTTAAGCTGATCACATTGCCACGTATCTCTGGCCGGCCGAGCCCACGAAACACGAACTTCATTGGTGGACGGAGCATCCAAACGAATAGCCTGTGGTGGTGCCGGTGGTGCGGAACATCGAGTACGAGCTCGAATTTCCGAACTTGGAGCAGATTGTTCATTTTGCAATGATACAACGCGTACTCGAAGATCCACAACACTGTTTGTTGGAAGCTGAAATGGAAAAATTGTAAAGAGCAAAAAAAAAATTAGCCGATGTTTTTTTTTCTTGTAACAAAATTCATTTTGACTTAATTTGTAGTCACAGTTTTTTAAAATTCAATAATATTTTCAGATCTCAGTTAAAAAAAAAAAAAAAAAACTAAAAATGATCAATAATTTAAAGGAGCGTTGTTGCGCAGAGCGATAATGATTTCATTATCATATCCATACATTTGATAGAGCTTCTTTTTTAGGTTTTTTTTTTCTTAAACTAAGATCTAAACTTGAAAGAGCTGTTGATAAATATAAAAATCAATGAAAATGTACGAAAAGATTAGATTACCTGATCAATTTGAGCGGTATAAACACGACGTCCGGGATATGCCGGAATTCGTCGACCATATTGCTGCCATACACCATCACCAAGATAATATTCAACTACAAATCCACTTACATCAATATCTGGTGCATTCCATTCTAATGTTACCGAAGTTGCTTGCTCTTCAATTACACGTGGAACAACCATTAAATTATTCAATGGTTCTGAACCGGTACTTACATCAATTGCGGTACCTGGATGATAGTGAATACCATCGGTAGTAGCATCTACCGTTATATTATAACGTGTATTAGGTGACAAATTATCAATATTATATTGCATGGTGGATCGATCTACCATAAATGATATTGGTTTAGCATTATGCTGTAGCACAGGTGTTACATGAATTCGATAACCGACAACACGAGCTGCATCGGTGGGACGTACATTCCATCCAATTAAGATACTATTCGCTCGTCCACCTAATTTGCTCAATGAAATGACCTGAACAGGACTTTCACTAATATGACCAACTTGTGGTTCACTCCACGGGGACCAGGTACCACTTTGATCACCAGCTGACATCTGCAACACAGTCATTTGTATTTTGTAACAGAGAGCAATCTAAATATCACAAAAAGATTATCTGTGATTGGGAATTTTTTTTTCCCCAATGATTTAAATATTTCAAAATTCAAACCATAAAGGTGTATTGCTTTTCAGGTTCCAAGCCATCAATTTTACCACAATGTAATTTTGTTCCAGTTGATAGTTGTGATAATTGCTGCATACGAATCACTTCTTCACCACACGGATTATATGAGGGAAATTGCCGTTCCTGATATTGTTTGGTACCAGCTATTGCATATTTACATTTGTATTTATCAATTAAACCAGAAGACGGATAAGGCTCTTGCCAAACTAAATCTGCATTATCTGATCCAGTACTTAAAATTCGAACCATCGGTGGTGCTGGGATCTGAAATATAGGAAATTAATTACATCAATGAAAGTGCCTATATCCAATTTTCTTCAAAATTTAATTCTGCCTAATTTTCTATAAACATTAAACATACATCAGGTGCAGTAGCAGTTTGGAATTGAACCGGTTCAGACCAAGGCCCTGCTCCTTTTCGTGTAAATGCTCGTATTCGCACCGAATATTTTGTATACGGGGAAAGACCGGTAATTTTAGTTCTGGTACCTCTAACAACCTGCTTAATTGTACCATCAGTTCTATGATCACGCTGTTCCAAAGGTGTTGCTTCGAATTCGTATTCTGTTATTTCACCATTTGTTTGCAAGCATGCAGGTGCTTGCCAAACTATGGCTACTTCAGTAGGTAATACATTTGTTACACGGATGTAAATTGGTGCACCACTTGGTGGAGCCTCTTCAGTTTGCACTTCCTGACTTACACGTTCACCTAAAATATTTTTGAAATTCAAATTTTCATACAATAAACGCAAATTCTGATTAATAAATGCTTTTTCACATCTGATCAATTTTATAGCATTACAGTGAATTATTTGTTGGTATTAAAATTGAAAATGATTACATTTGAAAGTTTTTTGGAACAATCTCAAACAGATATCGTTGAGTTTCATGTTATTCGACAACCGTGCCACAATCTCAAGCAAATTTCAAAAAATTAAGATCAAAAGAAGAGTGAAAAGTGTTACCAGCGATATTTGTTTTTGCAGCAACAGAAATACGATATTTTGAATGCGGTAGCAGGCCTCGAAGAGTGAATGAAGGCTTATCACTGGTTACTGTTATAGGCCTTTCCTTCACCTGGTCACACATACCTCTGAAGTGAAATAACTCTCATTCATTGATCAACAACTCCATTTAAGACCTTTGAAGAATAGTTAAAATGTTAACATGATCAAATATAACTGCTGATGATTTCGAATCATGCATAGATAATTACAAAATTTTCTATTTTCTTAATGATAAGATGATTCACTTTGATAGTAGCTGATAGGTCACTTCATAGCCGGTAATTTGCCCATATGGATTTTGCGGTTGTCTCCAGGAAAGCTGAAGTGTATCCGATGATTGTGGATAAATTTGTAAATCGGAAACTGGTCCAGGAGCTAGAAAAAGTTAAGGAACATGTTTTAGTTTGTAAGATATAATACTTTAGAAACTAAAAAAGAAAATAGTCCCTTAAAGATTCTAAATTTAAGGGACAAAAATAACTTAGACAGTCTTTCCGTCCTGAGATTTTTTCTTTTTTAGTAAAATACTTTTTGAAATTTTAATTTTCATAAGATTAGCTATATAAAATCACACCAGTTCCTTCTGTTTGTACAGTAACTGGACGTGACCACTGCGTTTCACCGGCTGGATTAGCAGCTTGTACCTCGAAAGTCCATCGTGTAAATGGTTCCGAATCAAAAATTACATGATTTTCACCACGTGTCAAGTTTTTAAAGCCTTGATTGTGTGGAGTGCTGTATTTTACAACATACCATAATCGATTACAATTCCATTCTGATTCATGCAATGCCTAAAATATAACTATCAGCATCACAATATGGTAGCATTTTAATATCTGGCATTTTCTATATTTCATATTTCGTACCATTAACATACCTAATTATGGAATTAAATACAGATTAAAAAAAGAACAAAGCTTCTGAAATGATAAATTAAGTAAATAATAGTGGGAAAATTAAATCATATGCTATCTTTTCACAAGTTATGCATAAACGATTTCAGATATATACTGGCAAAATTTTTATGAATTTAATTGTTTAAAAGTGCTGAATTTATTCATTTAAAATTTAGTAAATTTTAAAATTAACCTTCCAGGATACACGGATTTGTGTGGGTCCAAGTGAAGTAGCTTGTACATCAGATGGTGCACGATGTGGTACTGAACATTTGATTTGTGTTTGAACATTAATCGCTGATGATGTGTAAGCAATACCATTATTAGCATCAACTGCATGAATTCGAATTTGATAATTATGACCAGCAGGTAGCTCACTCAGATCGATACTGTAAGGTCGTTGCCAACCTGTATATGGTACCTAAATAATAACAAACTTCACATAGCTCATTGAGAACTCAAAATTTAAGACGTGCGAAAAAAAAGAAAATTTAAAAAATGAGATTGAAATATTTAAAGGTATACAAAAATTATTATACTCGTTCACGAAGCTTTTGCCAAGTTGTATCAATGGAAGTTCGATATTCAATTTGATAAGTTTGAATGAGATCATCTACACGCTCTTTGCTTGTCCATGTAAGCACCGGAATTCCCTGTCGATAGCTCAGTGTTGGTCCAATGATTAATTCACCAACAGGTGGTGTTCGAGCAGAAGCAATTTGTGACCATGCTGATGTACCTGCTGAATTCCTGGTACGAATTCGCATAGACCATTGCTGATTTGTCTCAGAATCTAACACATGAGATGTTTGATATCCGTTCAGGAGGAGAGGTGCAATACCTTGTGGTTCCGTTATTTCAAGTTCCACCTGTATGTCGCTGCATTGCCAGGTATTTTGTGGTGGTTGCGCCCAACTTACCCGAATATGGCGTGGATCAGCAGCTTGCACTTGCAAATGTGATGGAGGATGAGTTGGTGCTAAATTACAGAATTTGTTACACTTCAAATTTAAAATTAACCTAAAACATTTTAAATGAGAGATTTATTTTTGTTCATTGTATACTAAACCGTTTGATATCGATCTGTTCACCTCTGCTAATTTTTTTCTATACTTAAGAAAATTTGTAAAGCTATATAAAATGATTTCAAATTTGATAAGTAAATAATTTAATCAACAAATGAAGTGGAAAAGATTTACAGTCATGAAAAAAAAGGATTTAATTAATGAAATAAAATAAAACTAATCAAATTTAATGTAATTTTTTTTGATCAAAATTTTTATATCATAATAAAAGTTTAAAATCATACCGGAACAACCAGTTCGTGCTGATGCTTCCGGGCTGGTATACATAACATATGAATTTCTATCAAGTACTTGAATATGTATATGATACACACTACCTTGCTGTAAACCTGTCAACTGTTGCATATAACGTTTATTATCACCTGTATACGGTACAATTTGGCTGAAAATGAATAATAACACTTTTTAGAAATGCAAAACTTTTTTCAAAAATAAATTTTAATTATAAAGAAAAAAATCTTCATTAAAATTTAGAATGTTTGATCATTTTGTAAATATTATAAAATTGAATAATGCAATTTGTTCTCTCTTTTTATTACAATGAATCTGCTTAACAAATTATGCAAAAAAAAAAAAGAAAAAAATTACCCATAAGAACTCCAACCAGTACTATCTGTTCGATACTGTACACGATATCCAAAAACACCTTGGCCAGTACCTTCACTGTTCCATTCAACGATTAAATCACTATCACGTGCTAATACCCGTAGATTTGAAATAAGTTCTGAAATTTGCAAATTAAAAACTTTTTAAAAGTTCGCAAAAAAAAAATTTGTTTTTTTTGTTGAAAATAATCTGCCATGCAATAGCAAAAATAATCACTAATGTTACATAAATCATGCTATTATCCATCATCAAGCTCAATATCACCAAATAAATTTATCGTATCTTTGTACAACATATCATAATCATTCATTTAAGAAAAATTTTCATAAAATGAACTACAACTAAATTAAAATTCCAGAATAAAAAATATTCATAAAAATTTAAATATTTTATTATTTTCTTTTATTGTAATAAATTTCGGAAAAAATAAGTCATTGCAAAACAAAAATCACAAGGATACTCTATAAATGAAAAAATATTTCAATGAAAAAATATTTCATTTATAGAATATCTATAAATGAAAGCAATTTTGAAATGTTAATATTACAGTAATGATTTTTAAAACCATATACGATTATAATCTCTTTAAACTGATCTCAATGTAATTTAAAAGAAATTTTCTAAGAATGAAAATGAAATTATAGTAATGATAAAAAATTTGATAATCACTATTGCGCTTGCCGATTTCCATTTCATCGATCCATAAAGATGCATGAATATTGAAAGTTATAGGTTATATTTAGATGCTTAAATGGGTTCATATAGCCCATATTAGCATCATTCTTCATCAGATGCAAATGTCTTATCATAAATAGCTAATTGATCAAAGTCGTTTAAAAAAAAAAAACACTAAAGCTTGAGAATGAGCACTAATTAGTAGAGCCAAGCCAGTGCTGAATAAATACTGTACTAAATGATGCAAAAAAATAAACAAAATTTTTACGTAAGTTTTGAAATTAAAGATAAACTTAAGTATAGTTAAAATTCTAGTAAAAAAAAGGTGATTGCTTGGGATAAGAAGTTATTTGATTCAAACATTTGGATAAGAGGAGCATAATATCAAGATCACACTGCACAGCACACGTAATCAAACCTTCATTAGCATGACGAGATATAGCAATATCGTAATTTTCATCCGGTGAACGACACCAGAAATCTACACGTGGATCACAGATGCTACGTAATATACGAAGACCCTTGAATACTGGAATAGGGACACATAATTTGATAATAAAATAAGCGCTAAATTACTGGAAGATATGATTTTTCCTTATAGCTAGTGAAATTTTAGAAAGAGATGAAATAGGTATGGGAAAGTAGCTTAAATTAACTTAAAATTCACAACTTTTTTTGACATTATTTATATTTCATATTGAGACCTCACAATGACCTCTAAATAGATAGCATTTCGCCTAATGATGTTTACCGATCTTTATCTATCTGTTCACTCTAACTAATTTCGTAATCTTTATTTTTTTCCCTTTGCTTACATAAACTTTTCCGCATCAAACTTTTGAATGAGATGCAAAATGATCTGCCGAAAGACTATCAACGAGCAATCAAATGTCAAAGATCAAGAATTGATAACTGAGAAGGAATTAAAATATCAATTTTCTAACAACTTAAAACAGACATGCAAATGCTAAATTAAATCAAATGAAAGCAGATTCAAAATTGCCAATTGAAGTGCACGATAAATGTAGATAGAAATCTGAAATGTAAAAATTTCTAGAAATTAAATGATTTCTAATAAATCTTTAATGCTCGATCGATTAATTTTTTCGTTTTCTAAATCATTTTATAGTCGTAATCCAGTTTTTTTTTTCTACAAAATCATTTATTCCTCTTCGACAGTTGACAACTTAAAAATTTACAGCGAAATCGATCTAAATTTAAACAATACCTTTCGAAGAACTTTGTAAATTTACAGGTGCGCTGCTAGGCCCAGTTCCGGCACGATTTCCGGCACGCATTTCCACATGCCATTCACCAGCAGCCGCATTCTGGAATGTGAACTGACGTTGTCCTCCTGCAACTCGTTCCGAAAACGGTATCCCACTTTGATATCCTGTTATTAGAAAATACGGTTCACATTCACGATCCTCCGAATCTGCCCAATTCCAGCTAAGTTGAATTCCTTCTTTTACACTTTCTAATCGTAAATTCTGCGGTGAATTATTGGGCGCTGAAAGAGTATGGCTAGTATATAAAAGATGGAAGCGATATTGTCCAAAGAAAGTCACGTCAAAATTGAAAGATTAAAATTTAAAACTGAAATTTTAAATAACTTACTGTACAAGCATTACAAAACGAAGTTATAAATAGTGAAACTTCTTGAAATTCATGCACAGAGAGCTCCCCCTTTCATATCATACTTTGATAACACATCATATTTAAAAATCAGTCAAGTGAACAATTTTAAAAGTAAAATTGCATTTGAAATATTGCAGCACACTTTACGAACAATTTTTTCTTAATGTCGCGCTTGTACGTTTAATACGCATACCTTGACAATGAACCGTAAAACTAGTTGCTTCTGAAGTAGCAAGAATGCGTCGTGATCGATCAATAGCCGAAACTTTGACATAGTAATGTTTATTAGTTTCTAAATTTGTTAACTCTTGTCGATAGTGAATTTCTGAGGGTGAATGAGTAACATAGCCATTGAAATGTTGCCAATTACTATCTGAATCTGAACGTAGATCGATCTGAAAATTTAAAAAAAAATAACTTATTAGTTTAAAGTTTTGTTAATTTTGTATTAAAGCTAAGTGATCAATAAAATATCACATATTGGGATGCTATTTCGAATGAATTATTGTTGTTCTAATAAAATTATATCAATTATTAGGCTTGCAATAATTTTCCTAATAAATTACAAACAAACCTGATAGGCTAGCACATTTGATGTATCACCACCAACAGTCCAGTATAGCAGAATACGTGATCCACGTTGTTCAATACGTGGTTTATCAATACCAAGAAGCGACTGCGATATACCATCTAAATAATCACTTTAACTTTATTTATGTGATTAATTTAAAAAAAATATATAAAAATAGATTGTTTTTTCATCTAAATTTTGTTTAAAATGATAGCAAAATTCATCAAAAAATGACTGCATTCAAATTAAAATGTGCCAAATTTGTGCAAAATTTTTTAAAAAAAAGCGTGCAAATAAGCATGAAGCGATAGAGAAAATATTAAGCATGCATGCTGTGATGCAATGAGTAAGCAAATATTTAGTACTTCAAAAGGAACCGACACACTTTGATCAATGCATTTGCAAAATTTTAAAGAATGTTCAACTAATCGTAAGTAGGATTATGAAAAAAAAAAATGAGGGTAGGAATTGATAAATGGAAAGTAAAACAATTTGTCATTGAAATAAGAAATGATATTGGCCTGAAAGATAAGATTAAATCACTGCAAATTCTAATTTAGTTTTATCTGCGCTTGTTAACCTTGTTAGCAGAATCACACGTATCAGCATGGTTCGTTGTTACGTCCTCTCACCTCGCTCGTCATTCCGTTCCGGCAGCACCTGAACTTGATCCAATTGTTGTCGAATATGTTCCAGTTCTAATCGTTCACGTGAATCCAATTTTCGTTTCACGTCCTCCTCTCGTTGTCGGTGTCGATGGTTCAAATGATCACTACGTTCACGTTCACGTCCACTTTCTTTCTCCCACTGTTCACGTTCTTTCTCCCATTGCTGCTGCAGCTCCATACGTTCACACTCTAGCTGCTGTAAACGCTTATAATATTGTTGCTGCAGTTCGTCTATTCGATTTGGATGCTCACGGTAACGTTCATATTCATCCTTAATTCGATTACACTCACGTTCCCTATTCAGTCTATCATTTTCCATTTGCAATATTTTATGCTCACATTCTTTTATTCTTTCCCGTTTACGTTCCTCCATTTCCAATTGTTCTTTTTCCAATTCATATTTCAATTTAATTCTTTCACTTTCTTCTTTTGCTTCTGCTATTTTTTGCTGCTCTAACTGTTCTTTCAACTTTTCCTCCTCAACAATTTTATGATCCAATAATTCAGGATCACTTTTCCGCAGAGAAATAATCTTGAATACAGGTATGCCAAGTTCACCAAAATCAGTTCCAGCACGGACAGAAATATTGTAGATGGAATTTGGTGACAGTTGACCGATGGTAGAAGAGAAGAATGACCCTGGTACCTGTTCAGTTCGTTTTTCCCGTGTATTCAGATCTTCTATCTCAATCTAAATTGAAACTAACTAATTACCGAGAACAAAAACCAATTTTAGATTTGCTTTTTTCCCCCCTCTTTGTTTGTTTGTTTATTTATGCAAAAATATATCTCCAAGAAATAGCATTTCATCATGATCAGATAAAGCGGTGACTTTTTTTTGGGCAAAAAAAGAAGAAAAAGAACCGCTCCCAAAAATATGCGAAAGGAACATGAACATATACCGTGCAGAAATAGGTACTTCGTGCAAATGAAGGAATAAAAGAAAAAGAAGAAGAAGAGAAAAATGGTGCCTGATAAAAAGGAATGTGCTTCGAATTTAGGGGTGGTAGCCAATGAAGCACAATGCTTGACACGTCATGAGGGTTCACTTGAAGATTGTGCGGTGCTGACGGTACAGATGGTTCCCCTGAAATGGATTGGACACATCTTCGAACGACCAAACTCAACAAATAAACAATTAATTCGCCAGCATCCCATAATTCATCAATATGTGATCGAAATTTTTTTGAAATAATTTTCATAAGCATCATTTATTTGGTGTGTTGAAAGTTTTCAATAAAAGATTCCACGGAAAAAAAAAGAAAGCACCAAAAGGGACGAATGAAAGTTTCAACATTTTGCAAACCTATGAAAAAAAAAAGGCATGCTTTTGTTTGGAAAAGTATTTCTTTTGTTCATTGCTTACAAAGATAAAGTGAAAAATAGCAGAAACAAAGAGCATAAATTACATTTGAGGAATATGAATTGCATGCGTAACATATGATAGAAATGGCAAAGGATGGATAAGGTGAAAGGTCAAGTTTAATTAGAAATGGAAAATTAGAAATGATACCAGCTTCAACAAGGATGAAGAATAATGGGCTACCATGTGCTGTCCATTCACCATTTTCTAATTCATAGATTAACTGAAATTTATTTGAAAATAGTTTTTTTTTTTCAGTTTATTGTGTTTTAGCAAGAGGTCAAAAAATTCTCACTCACAATAGCTACTCGGTACTATCCTATCTTTTTCCATTTTTTTTTTTTTTACAACACAAATCTGAACTTACATCAGCAGTATACTGTACTCCAAAAGAAAGCTTAGATAAATCATAGCAGAAATCTTCCGCATCAGCAATCCCTTCCGGACATTTAAAATATTCCGGTGCTTCAGTGATCCGTGTCCATCGATCACCAGCACTCTTTTTATAGGACAACCTGGAATATTATTTTCCGAATTAGAAATTTCACTAAAAAACACGTCAATTTAAATTTCAGCTAAAAAATACGTGCAATTATCACAATTATCATGTGAGGAGAATAGTTTGAGCGAAAAAAAAAAATTAATTTTACTTGAATTTGATCACTTCCTCAGCATGTTCAGGTAATGGTGTCCAAGCTAAGTATGATATTGGTGGTGCCAAAATGATACGAAGTTGATATATGTTATGATTGTCTAAACAATAAAAATAGTCTGATGGTATACAGGAAAAAAAAAGCACTGTAATATTCTAAAAAAAAGAAAATGAACGTAGAAATTATATTATTATTTTTTCACATAACATTTTATTTTCATTTCTTCACTATCAAACATTTTCAATTATTAATGATCATTCAAGCAATTAGAAAGTAATGCGATGAAAGAGAAATTTTCAATTTAGAAATTGAATTTTATAAGAATTAAACATTATTTAAATACTACCTTCACCAAATTGTTATTGGTTACCGAAATATGAAAAAGCGATGAAATGACAACTGATATTCTTATCAACATATCAGTTACACTGTATGTTAATTAAGCACTAAAACTAAAACACATAATTTTCCAGCAATAAATTAAGAAAAGACAAAAACAATAAGAAAGAGAGAGAGAGAGAGAGAGAAAGGGAAAGAGAAAGGTTTTTGCATAATTTATACAAAATTAAAATGGAGTAGACATAAAATTTTCTTATCATTTGTTCAAAAAGTTAATCTATACAATTTTCCAATGCAATCTTCCTTTTATATTTACCATATAATTTACCTTAAATTACCTGTAATTTGACTTTTTTGTTGTCGTTTAAAGCGTCGAAGAAGTGCAGATATTGGTGACTGTTGCAACACTGAATAAAAATGATAATGTGTTATTTGTGATTAATTATAACTGATAGTGATAGTGACAGTGACAGTGATATCGATTAAGAATCACCATTATTTGTGAATACTAAATGTTAGTCTTACTATCAAACTTAAAAAAGGAGCATTATTAATGGCATGAACAAATAAAATTACATGAAAACATGTGACTCTTCAACCGAAAAAAAAAAGTTACGGTTTACCGAATTGCTCAGTTGACTAGTTTAAAGATACTGGAAGGTCAGCATATTCCTTTGACCTTTTAATGAATATTTATTCGAACATCAAT